TGCCACCTGGGCCATGCCTGTCCCTGCCCCCTCTCTCCCCTCCCCCTCCCCTTCCACCGCACTGGACTTACCAGCAGGAGGCAGCTGTATTGGAAATCGAATCGGTATTGGCTGATATCTTTCGTTAAATATTGGCTATTGGTATTGACCCCAAAAATCTTTATCGGTGCACCCGTATACGATTGATCTCCTTGGTTCATACAGCATTGGTTTAATCATCAAAATTTAATTTTCTAACTCTAGTGGGGGCTGAAATTTTGGAAAAAAGTGAATTCACAGCAGCCGTCTTGGATTCCAATATGGCAGCCACCTACACAATTTGTCAGTTTGGCAATATGATTTTTCTGACATGGGTAGACCACCTCAACCTGAAACACACTGGTGCTGCTTGTGGCAATGAGTTGCGTATGGAGTGACACATGCACCCTTCTTTTTTTATCATACTATCTCTGATCTCTCCATTAATTTTTGAAGCAGTTGCATTTGTACTGAGTGACTGTCTATCGCTCAAATTAAGACATGCAGGGTCAGAACAAGACTTCCCTGCAGTTGTCTTCTGGAGTTTACTTCTTTCTTTTTAGTGCAGTATGCAAACTGTTGCCCAAGTAGTCTGGATGAGGAGAACAAACAGGAGCCATTGAAGGGTGGGGCTGAAACGTGAGCTCTGGCAGGAGGCAAATCTGAGAGAGCATGCACATATTCAACACAAGCCTATTAGTTTGGCAGTATTTATAAGCCAAGTGTTGGAAGCCTTTTGCTGGTGTGGGCGGCAGCTTACAACTGAGCCATTACCAAGGGCCAGAAGTCTCTGCCCCTCCCATACTCCACTCCAAGTGGCTGGCTGTCAGATTCAAAGCCCCTTTGCAGCAAGCATAAACTGGAACACTGTGGTACTCCAATGGGGAGCTCTGGCACCAACCCCTATGCAAGATGAGACTTCTGAGGTCCAATCTGGCCTGAAGTAATGTATATTGCTGGTCCCTGTAATATAAGCAACTGAAAATATAAGTATTACAACCATAAGCATTAGGCAACTTTAAATAGGGGTGTTATTGGCTCTGCCTTTCTTGCAACTAACAGCAAAGGCATTTAAAGGCTTGGATATCCATCCTGTTTCCCATTTTATATAAATCAGCTACCCTTCAGAGTCTCTGTAATTGCTTGGGAGGTCTGTGGTCAGGAATCTGGCATAGAAGGGCAGTAATGCGCCTGGTCTCACTCCAGGCTCCCTGGACTTGAAGCTCATTGTCAACATGCAGGTCATGGTCCATGGCTGCAAGGCTTGACTGAGCCTGGGATGCTCCACCGTCTCCTGTCAGTATCATAACTTGGGGGTGGGGAAAGCAATTGCTGCAGGCCCTGATTTAGAGGAGACACGAGGATCGCCAGCCCCACCCCTTCCATCCACTCTGGGAGTCTTTGCTATGGCAGGTGCACCCCAGCCATAGAAGCCGGGCAGCCCTGCACTCAGTAGTGTATGAGAGGGAGGGGTAAAGTAGAATGCATCCTTCCCCCCACCCCTTCTTTGGTCTCCCCCGCCCCCATGCTCACCTGCTTGTTCACTGTGCGGTGGACTGAAGCGCTCTTGGACTCTGCCATTTTTCACTGGGAGCTGGCATAGCTGCTCTGTTTAAAGGTACAACATTTCTACCAGCTCAGCCCTTAAACACCTGTCACAGCGTGCTGTAGGTTAGCCACTGCTGCCCTAGCTCATCTTTAAACAGACACTACATGGTCCAGGGCTGAGTAATTATTTGGCTGGAAGGTCAGTGTAACAAGTCTTGTTGAGGGCTGCACGTGTATGACCTGCAGCTCTCCCTGCACCCCTGCCTTGAGTCCCCAGCTTGGGGGGGAGCTCCTGTCCAACCAAAAAATTGGTTGGACAGGAGCTGCACCCACGTAGCCTAAAGCAGCGTGTGGGAACACAGCGCAGTACCAGCCTGGCCATGTGCTGGGGACTTAGGGCAAAGGAGGGAGTGCAGGGAAAAGGGGGCCAGCCAGGCCAGTACTGGGCTGTTTCCCCCTTCTCCCTGTACCTGCTCCCCCACCCCAAGTCCCTGGCACGCGGCTGGGCTGGGCTGGCGCCATGCTGTGTTTCTGTACTCTGGTTTGGGTCACGTGAGTGCAGCTGGAGTGACTGCTGCCTGACCCAGCCATGTGCCAGGGACTCAGTCAGGCGGGAGCCACTCCAACTGCACTCACGTGGCACTGCCCGAAGCAGCGTGCAGGAACTCAGCGCAGCATTGTGTCAACAGTGCCTGTGCTCCTACTGGGCCCAGATAACCCGGAGTTCCTGGCCCTCTTTCCCCTGCCAGTGGGGCAAACCATATCTGAGCTTTAACTGTTGCTGGGGCTGGGCTGTCTGGTCTGCGAAAGGGCGCAGGGTTGGAGCTGCATGCAGACAACCTCACTGGGTAGAAGCCTGGCCACAAGCTGAGTGCTCCCTGCCTTTGAGTGTACACTGGGGGGTTGGGGTGCGGGGCAGGGCAGGCCGGACCAGAATGGGGAGCAGCTGCTCCTCCTGCAGGCTCAGGTGCAGGAAAGGGAGAAGGGAAGAGGTATCAAAAGCCAGGGTAGCCACAGGCCGGATGCAGTTCTGCTTCAGAGGAGCAGCCGCAGGCTGGAGTTGGCCCGCAGGCTGTATTGTGCTCACCCCTGTCATACTCCCTTATATCTAGGTGGGTTAGCAAACAGCCTGTACAGAGTCAGCAAAATAGCCACGTTATCCAGTAGAGATGGGGAGAGGCAATATTGTGTATCATTTAAATGCTCACATATTGAATATTCTAGAGGTTAGCACTTAAAGTAAACTCTAGTAAGTGGTTTTTCTTGTTAACTGTATTTCTGAAAAAAAAAAAATGGGGATCTGGAAACTGTAGCCTAAAGTCTTAGCACAACTTCAGAATGCCAGGATTGGTACCTGTTTTTGAAACCACTTAATTAACAAGTGTACAGTTTAGCCAATATTATGTTTTTGGGCAAGCTTAATTGTATTCTACATAATGATTTGTGTTTTGGGTAAAGTGCTTATGCAGGCAGTCCTCGACTTGCAGTGTTTGAGTTGCAACGTTTCGCACTTACAAGGTTTATAAATTGACACCCTGCTTCAACTTTACAATGTTGGTTTCTACTTTACGACGCTTGATCTGATGCGATGCCAAGCCAGCGAACAAATTCGCTGTGTTGCTCATCTCCCTGGAGAACATCTGTCCAAACTTCTTTGGACACTTTCTTTAAGAAAGCAGACAAGACTACTGAGAAGACTTCAGCCAAGAACCCTTCAAAAAGTCCAACCAAGAGCCTTTCAAAAAGTCCAGCAAAGTTACTCCAAAGAAGACCTTCCAAATCTATATGATTGCTATTTACAATATAAATACATTAATGTAGCTATATTACTCATCTGTAATTGATTGAGTACAAAATTCTGGGGTAGTTTTGGTGAAAACAGGGTATCAGGCCTTGGTTCAGGAACCAATCCCCATTTATAACATTGTTTCCCATGGGAAAATTGATTCCAAGTTGCAACGTTTCCACATAAGATGCTGTTTTCAGGCACCAATTGTGTCATTAAGTCCAAAGACTGCCTGTACAGGGTTTCAGTTTTGTAACAACATTTTGGCAGTTTAAAAAAAAATCATTTTGTATTCTGTATCCAAAAGCTTACACTCTAAATATATAATATCAACAGACTTTATTGTGAAAGATAATACTAGTGAATTACAAGCATGTTTCAAGGATTTGTAGTTATTTTAATGAATCGAAATAATCTTACATTGTTTTCAGGGTGAACTACTAAGTTCTTTAAAACTCCAAGTACTCTTCTTTTTGAGATTTCCAAAAATAAAAAAGGGAATAATGGCATAGATATATCTTTGTGTGCATGCATGTTTTAAGGTAGGGAGTTGTGTATGTGTATATGTATTTTTAGTTAAGGGAGGCAAACAGAATTTGATGGTTTCTGATTTTTTTGTTTTTGTTTTGTTTTTCCTGTCAACTCTGGAAAAGTGGTATTTTATATCAATATCTGTTTTTTCTTTTTTTTAAAGTAATGCCATTCTTCATTCTAGAAGTAAAAAAATGTGCAGTTCATGTATTTAATATCATAGAGACAAATTTGCTGGTATCAAAATTACTTTTTGAAGTTGTGCTTAGTATTGGTTATTTTTGCCCCTTCCCTATTTTCCACCCAAATCTTTAATGTATTATGAAACTGAAACAGTTTTTCTTGGAACCTGTTTTTCAGTGGCATTATTCAGGTACAACTTTAATTATTTTCCAAGTAATTGTTTAGAGGGAAAACAGGCTATGAATAAACATTGTAGCTTGGCCCACTTATATCAAATTTGCCATACTTTTTAATATTTGGATGACTGAATAATTTTAGGGTCAGGTGTCTTTTACTTTCATATTACTTTTAATTCTTGGCTTGAATGCAATTAGTAGCATGACCAAAACCAGCAGGACTTAGCCCTAAATCTCAGATTTTGTTTTATTAATAGAAGTACTATATTATGCAACATACTAGAGTAACTTGGAAGAAAAACTGCTTTTGTATTGGAATATCAAACTTCGCCTCTGTAGAATTTGTATAACTACCAGTTTCTCACATACCATGCTTGGCGTATAAAACAGTGTAGAATTTGCACTGTTTCACTACTTGTTCATCATTTTATAAGGATTTATCTGATATAGTACTTCTGTTGTATATATTCAAAATGTATGAGCATCTGAAGTGAAATAAATCATATCTCTAATGCAGAACAATGTCATTTTGCTTATTCCAGCACAATTTCTACCTGATCAGTACACCTGAATTATTGTCTAATGCAGTTAATCTACAAACACCAAAGATGCTGACCAGAAAGATTAAGCTTTGGGATATTAATGCCCATATAACCTGTCGTCTGTGCAATGGATACCTGATTGATGCTACCACTGTAACGGAATGCTTACATACCTGTAAGTATGACTATATAACTCTTCAACCTTACATTAAAGGAATTTTTCTACCTGATGTACTAGAGTTTTGACACATTAGAGCAGGTTTTACTTGAAGCTTAAATATTCTGTGCACCTGTTATAATGCAAGTTTTGCTCTAAACATTTTTTTCCAGCTAAATTGTGTTGTCATCATGACCAAGAACACTTGTTGCTTTGCATAAAGCTGCAACCATATGCAGTGAAATTTGGTTAAGTAGCCACTGGGCTAGGTGTCAGTATGATCTTATTATTGCATTGATGCACTGAATCCTGATCAGAGTCCCAAAACACTTTTTGGCTAATTTGTCACCTATTAGAGCATAGTTAGTCATTCCCAAATGTACACACATACTAAACTGAGATGGAATTTGTTCCTGATAATTAATTGGCTTGAAAGGTATTGATCCATACCTCTCCATAACACCTGTCAAGCCAGCTGACCTTTTTCAAATTACTGGTGCTCTTTCACTTCTCTTGGCTCAGGAAGATATAGGATCAACTATTCTAGTTTGTAGGCTTGTCTTCTATTTTGTTGATAAGAGCATGTAATAGTGCAGAGCAAAGGTCTCTTGCTGATTATTTTATTCCATCACAATCATGTAACTTATATATAGTGAATACCCTGAATTTTTGTAGTAAGAAATTTTACATTTATATGATTCTACAGATCAATCTTTAGTTTTCACATACTGAGCCCAAAGTGTTTACATTGTATGCTTAAATTTTTTTGGGGGGGGGCGGGGGGGTAAGGTAGGTGAGGAGGGTGTGTGTATAATACATATGCATTTTTCCTGTGTAAAACCATTCTTTACAGTTGCTCCCTGTGGGCTGTAAGAAACACTACTCAGATTTGAAGATGGCTAAACACTTGATAGATTATCCACAAGTTACTATCCTCATTACTAATTCCTTGGAGTGAGGAATTAGTCAGATTTTACTGTCTCACAAATGGTAATGCGTTTACATAGCATGTGTAGACTCACAGCCTGTTTTTACATTGAGGGAACAGTTGTGCCCATCTTCCCATGGATCTAAATGTTTGGGAATTAAGGGAAATGCATTTACTTTCTCACCCCAGAAACAGCTATGGCTGAAAAAGGACTGGTAAAGCATACTCTGCTGTGCCCCAAACTGAATTATTTGTGCTGAAATTTGGTTGGCCTTTTTGTGGCTGCTACACTTTGCTCAATTGGATGTATCTTAGAAGGGATTCTTGGTGAGGTGCATCTCCTTGCAGGGTAAATGTCAGAAGTTTGAAGATTGCATTTGCAGGTGTATTCTGGTATCTGGTCCAGCCAGCCTGAGGTGAGGGCAGTAGAGTGGGAAGAGTTGCTATGTTGGGTGGAAGCCCACAGATGAGCTTGGCTATGGGCCAGTGGAGGTACAGAACAAGATTCAGACTGCAAGAATATCATGTTTTACAGAAGCCTCTATCTGTTCCAGTAGGTGGGTGAAATAGAAACCATCCTGTATTTTGTTTCTGTAGCATGACCCTCAACTGCCTATCGTAAGGAAAGTTTCTACTTAGAACAGCAACTTCAGTTGAAAGGATTAGTATTAGTGAAATACCGGAATGTATCCCATAGAACAGAAGCAGATGCTAATGGATTCTAAATCCTGTACATCTGCTACCAAAAATTTGTTTTTATATTGGTGCTATATACCAGCTCTGTGTTGGGAGACTAAAAACCTTAATTTGTCCCTCTTTCATCCAACTCAGCTGCCAGACATTATACAGAGATCTGCCATACACATGGTCTTGCCTATATTGAAATAGTGGATCTCTGCAAGCCCTTGCTAGGTTCATGTGGAATGTAAACATTTTGACATACCCATTTAAAAGAAAATATAATAAAATTTGAATATGCTTGTGGCGTTCATCTTGAACCACTTAACACATTTAGACACAGTTGTTATTATATGGAAGTATTTTTCTGGTAGCAGTTTACGTGCACTGTGGTAATGTTTTTGGAAACTGATTCCCCTTGTACCGTACTTCACAAAGATGATGATAATATGTGGGAAAATCTGGAAAGCCCACAAAAGTACTTGGTTTTAAGCATAGTTTACTGGATTTAATGAGTCCACTTTCCTTTAGTTATTTCCTTACCTGTATGCTCATTTCAATAAGGTCCTTCTCAATGTGTAGATCAGGAGTGGGCAATTATTTTGGCTGGAGGGCCTCTTAATAAGTTTCGGTGTGCTGCTAAGGGCTGCATGGGTAGCCCTACCCCTTGACAGTTACCCAGCCCCCTTGTTGCCATCTTGGGACCAGAAGTCCTACCCCCTGACCTTTGCCACCAAAAGTTCGTCCCATTGCCTCCTCACCCCCTGGAAATATTACTTTTGTGGGGGTTGCCATCTTAGAACCACACACAAAAAATCATACACCAGAAGTCCAAATGCCTACTAGAACATATTTTAATTTTATTATGGAAAATATTTTTGTCACAAATTGTGTTTGCATAGTGTATATAGAAGTGATTGCATAATAACTCAAAAATATATTCTTAGTGTTGTATATTGTGTGGGGGGGGGTGTAAGTGTGTGGTGGGATAT